TTCATTTTAAAGTGGCTGAAGTGGTGCCTATTAGCTCCTAATGTAAAAATTAGTTCTAAAATGGAATTTCATATCCTGAGGCTAGATGGTACATTTTAAAAGACTTGCAAATGTCAAGGTCATTTTAGCTTTTTGATTAGCAAAGTCAGTTTGGGAAGTGGGGTATGTTTTCCTGGAGCCATCACAAATTTTTGCAGCAGAATTTTTGAATAGAGATTTACCTTTGATGTTACAAGAGTCTATAAAAAAAATCTGGAAAAGAAAACAACATCACTCCTTGACAGCAGATGCATGACTCAGGAGCTTGGCTATGCTGTCGGTTTACATTAATTTTTCTCAGCAGGAATGAGGCTTGAAATTTAAAATGCAGGTTTTTAATCCAAAAACAATGATCTTCAAGGAGACCTGACATATCCCATAATGAACCAAGAGTTAAAGTGTTTTTGAATCTATTATCATTAAGGAACAAAAGAGTAACTTTGACAGCACTCAGCTATAAACATATTATATAACCAAAGAATACCATACCAGCTCTACTCCCTTTGTACAATTTGCAGACTTCTTGAGCTGGAGCACTTCAGGTCTCCCTGAAGTCCTTCAAGATGCCAAATTGTGTATTCAAGTTGAAAATGTTTTCTAAATCTGAAAAATATCTCTTGCACAGGAGATAGTCCATTTTAAAGCTGTGTTTTAAATAAATTTTAATGTTATTACCTCCACTAGGTTCATTTAGGGAGACTGACGAGGACTGCAGTTAGGATAGTATTTTGTTGTGTTGAATGACTCATTTATCTCAAAATAAATGATTAAAGAGATTCAGTTTAAGGCTCAAGATGGCTTCCAGAATGGGTGAAATTGGCATCTGTAATCACGGCATGCACCGAACAAGAAGAATGTTTAATAGTATCTGAGACCTTGCATCCATTTAAAATGTCCTTTGTGAAGCTTTCCCTTCATGGAATTTCCTTCTGAAACTTCACACGTGATAAATGTGCAGCATTGACCTGCAGCTCATGAAAGGACATACAGAAGGTAGGCAGGCTGGCCACCCATCACCTCTCTAGTCTCCATCAACCCTTCTGGTGCTCTGCTGAGTCTCAGCTCTTCACATTCATGGTCAGCCTTCCTCTCCACACGTCCACATTTCTTCTTCTAAGGGTAAAGGACTTGCCCACTCCCCACTGCTTGCCTGGACTCCTGGATGCACCTCTCCTTATGCGATGGTAGATGATCTTTCTTAAGGTTTATCCCTCCCTTTCCTTGCTTGATTTTCTGCCCCTTTTTTCCCCTCTCTTCAACCTTCATTTTTTTCTTTTCTCCTTGCCCCTGTTTTCATAGAAGCTTCCTGGCCCTGGATCTTTTCCTTTGCTCAACTTGCTCGTTTCACCACTGAATGGTGAGTCAGCACCAATGATCTTCAGTAGAACTTTTTCTTGAGCACTCTGATGAAAACAAAGGTCCCTAAGTCCATGCGTACATAAAGAAATCAGTTATCTCACAAGATAAATCAGAAGCCTTTTGTGGAATAAATGAATAGTGAGAGAAAATATCGAGAGTTAGGAAGTGAGTTCAGTATATACTCGCAGTTACATCTAAAAAACATAACTCTGCCAAGTTCTGTTTTACACAAGCACTTTAGAAATACAAACTTGAAGCCTTTCCTTTCAAAATTTGCACGTAAAACCCGAGCTGTTTCAACAAATTAAAAATAAAGAGCTAAAGCAACAGAAAGGAGAATGTCAACAAGGCTTTTGTGGGCCAAGGCTTTGAAATGACTAATGAGTTGGAAGAATGTGCTCTGCCGTAAATGTGCCGTTTGACAAGCTCATTTCTTTCACAGCACACCAGAAGCTTCCTACACGAACCAACGCTGATGCAAAGTGTAAATAGGAAAATCTGTCACTCGGCAGCTTCGCTCCTTCCATCAGGCGGCTGCCAAAATATGGGAACATTATCAGAAGATTTCACCAAACCCATGCCGGCGGTGCTTGCCAAGTGCTAGCATTTATTTTCCACACGGATTAAATGATTTGCAAAGAAAAGGGCTATGTCTAGAAAATAGTGTGACTAGTGCCCTACAGCAACAGCATGGGATTTTGCACCAGTGCAGATTTGTGGTGGCCGAGAGCATGGGAATCTTTGCAGTGCTCAGGTACAGCATTGGTTTCCTTGTTAAGAAAATAACTGCTTTTTCCTGGTAGGTGTGACTAATTTTTGAATCTTTCTGGCCCAAGTGATTAGCAAGAACCCTCCGCTTTAATATTTAGCAAACTGTAGATGGCAGCTGGTCCATGGGGTTGCTGGGCACAGCCACCTCCATCTGGCTGGGAATTAATGACACTGTTAATGCACTTGTAACTTGGGCTTAATGGAGTACTGCAGAGCACCACGCATGCTGAAATGGTTGGCAAGCTGTAATATTGAAATATTTTATAATTTTTTATTGATATTGTTGGGATTCAGTGGTACAGAAGGGCATGCTCTTGGTCTAAGGTAGTCTAGATTTTAAAATTTTTTATTTCTAAAAAACAAAAAAAAGTCTAGGAATAGAGATGAAAGGCTGCATGTTTTCCACTTGAAAAGGCCTCTGCTAGGGCAGCCTGAGAATGTGCAGATGAAGGTACCGTGAAGCTTCGCTGTGTGGGTTTTATCAAAGTTGTACTGCGAAAATACTGCTGTAAAGGAAGAAAAGGCTTTGTTACCCCACAGTTTTTCCCCATAACTCTTTTTATGCCTCCAAAACATAAAAAAAAAAAAAAAAAAAAAAAAAACAGGAAAAAAAAAATAGGAAAAGGGCACATTTTTCTCAAAGTGAGAAAAAATTAATGCATGAATATCATCCTATAAACGTAAGAATGACTGTGTTTGCTAATGCCAGAAAAAGCAAGCAAACATATGAGAGTGGCTGTGCACTTGAAACCTTTCCAAAAGTGCATGCTCTTATTCAGTGGACTCAGAATAATTAATATAGCGTGGGCAGAAACACTAATTGTAGTACAAGGAGAAGAACTAGGGGGAAATACAGCATTTTACAGTAGGTCTTAAACGAGGCAATGGTGCAGTCTGCATTGGGAGCAGTTTAACCTCTAATGATCATTTTTTTGTTCTTGTTTTACTTAGGTTAGTGTGTTCCTCTCTGCTGATCTACTTCTTAAACTTGACTTTACTCCATTCTCAGGCTGAGTTTTGGTGGTGCCAATATATAAAATACCTCCATCCATCTAATATTAATGACTGTTTGAGCTTTTCTATTAATAAATGGCCAAGGTTGAAATCCACTCTGTTCCCCTAGGAAATTCATCATCCTCCTTGTGCTCTCTGCTAAGTTTTACTGCTAAGTGAGCTGCTGTAATTCAGATCCATAAATCTCCAGGTGACTTTTCTTTTGCAGAGGGGAAGTTTTTTTCTGACCAATGAGGTTCCATCAGAATACATGGAAATATACCTATTCTGGTTAAAAACGAGCCCAGACACAGAGAAGAAAGTAAGAAGCCACTAATTTAATATCACATATATGCAAAACAGAAGACAGTTACAGCCCAAGACTTGTCAAGGTTTGGGAAATGTCAAATGTTTCACATAGGGATGTTTTCATTTAGGGATTTTTAATTCACATATTCCACGCCTATGAATATTTACTTTATATATTCATTCTCCATGTGAGTCCGATGATTTCTTTTGGAAGGGCATTTTAGAAATCTTTCAATAAGTTTATGTCCAGAGGCAAAATGATTAACAACCTGTTATCATATCAATATATTCCTGTGCAGGAGGAGGTTGGCTGGGCATGTTTGCTTTGACAGCCCCTACCAATTTAACCTTGTTACACGGTTAATGTTTTGCATTAAAGGACAAAGGAATTAACATAAAAATTATTCAAAGGTACTTGTGGGAGTTCATAAAAATGGTAAATGGAGCAAACAGTTAGCTCAAGTGAGGAAAGAATATTGTTCTTTTGAGAACACTCTGGGAAGAACATCAGTAAAATGGTGAATGTCACCTTTGAAAACCCAATTTCCAAAAATGGGCATTTAAAGGCACAGTATTAGCTAATTCTATAGGAATTCTATGGCAGAAAACAAATGTCTCTGGAAGAATTACATCTCAAGTGTGTTCTCTTTGACTTCTTTTTCCGAAGTCTTCATCAAAGCAGTGCACATCTCCATCTGTGGGACCATATACCCAGCACAGGGGCACATACAGCTTCTAGAGCAACACGATGTTCTCAGTATTAACGGGAAGACCTACAGTCAAGGAGAGGTGTCACCTGTGAGGGGTTTGTATAGAGAAAAATAATGTAATGTAAGGACGACTCAAAGCGATTTCATGTGAGGGAAGGGGCTCTATGCAGTCCCGTACTTATAGTGAAGTGTCATGGCATCATCTAGTGGTGGAACACGAAAAGCAGAGCCCTGAGCGGGTTATCCAGAGCTCTGGTACCTCAGCTCTTTAAAGCCAAAAAGGAAATGGAAAAGCTAGAAGCACAAAGGAAGGGAGCGCTGAGGCGTGAGCAGCTCCTTATGGCCGCTCACAGGCGGCTCTCCCCACAGAAGCGACCCTTGCGTGGTCACTGGCAGAGGCGTCCCCGCACACCTCGCTGCTCAAGGCGAGGGGAAGCTCCCCACACACACTGTGGCCAGACGGTCATTTTGGGGTGACGCAAAGCGGGGACAGGGAAAGCGAGGCCGCCGCCGTCCCCACGGCGAGGACAGGGCGGAGGCGGCTCTCGAACCCGCGGCCTTCGACCCCGCGGCCCCTCCGCGCCGCGAGGGGGCGGCCGCCGCTCTCGCGAGAGCCGAGACCGCGGGCGCGGCAGCTCTCGCGGGACTTGGCGGCGCGGCCATGGCGGCGCCGGCCG